CGACCCCCCCCCCCCTGCCGAAGCAGGGTCACCTACAGCAGGCTGCACAGGACCGCGTCCAGGTGGGTCTTGAATATCTCTAGAGAAGGGGAATCCGCAGCTTCTCTGGACAGCCTGTTCCAGTACTCTGGTCACCCTCAGATCCTCATCTTCAGCTGGAACTTTCTATGCTTCAGTTCGTGCCCGTTGCCCCTTGTCCTGTCACTGGGCACCACTGAAAAGAGTCTGGCCCCATCCTCTTGACACCCACCCTTGAGATATTTATAAACATTTATAAGGTCTCCTCTCAGCCTTCTTCAGGCTAAGCAAACCCAGCTCCCTCAGCCTTTCCTCGTAGGAGAGATGCTGCAGTCCCCTAACACCTCACTTTATCACTTACAGACTTACTGGAAAAAGTTCAGATTAGCACAGTAATATAATCAGAGGCCCAGAAAATGCAGTTATTGAGGAAAGGCAAACAATTGGATTTGTTTTGGCTGCAGAGAAGGCAAAGGCTATCGTTCTGTTAGATACAATGAGCTGGTTAACATCTTCCCTCTGAAAAAAAGTACGGGGTCCTCCACCTTCTTCTACTTCATCCCCACCAGACTTGCTTAAAATAGGTAATACCATATTGTGTTTGAAGAAAAACAGAAAATGTGGTAAGCAAAAATTGGAAATTTTTCTTTAAGCAGTCTTTGTGACTTGTTCTGCCTTGCAGAAGCAGTAGAATTGTACATACTTGTTCTCCAAAACATATCTCATATATAACCGTATTTCTATCAGTAAACCTCTGTCAAGAACAGTTTGCATGATAAGGTCTTCAAATTTGAAATTTGTGGGAATAGGTCTGCTTGCATAACATAGTAGTACTTTGCAGCATAGTACACAGGAGTACTTGTGGAGTTATTCCTTAAATTAGAGTTGCTTCTAATATAACTGTGTACAGAATCACTACATTTTTTCCTTTTGATATTTAGTTATGGGTGATGAGTCAGTGCCATTTTTGCTGGACCAAGGAACCACTAAAACATATCAAATACCTATTGGACATCTGGACTACAAGTTCATTGAAAAATGCACAGATATTAAATACCTGGAAAAGATTCTCAGGGTATTAAGGTAAACATTACATTTTCCTAACTTGATTAGTAATTATATTCCTGTTCTGTAAAATTTGAAGCAACCCATACCTAAGTACTCTATTTGTCCTGAACTTCTTTGTGACTTTCTAATTTAAAAATTAAAATGCAAAGTTAAAGTAATCGTGTTAAGTGTCCAAATGATAATGCTAGAAATCCAAGTCCTGTTTTAACTGTCCAAAAGGTTTGAGTAACTCAGTGCCAGGTTTTTCTCAAATGCTGCCACTGGATTTTGGGTCTGTCATGAAGCCATCTTGGCTGACTGTTTGTGATAATTTCTTGAACTTTTGCTGAAAATGATGTGAGCATTTGTTTATGAGCAGTGTGATGATAATTTTGAACTCTGTGTGTGTGTCCATTGGGAAGTGATTGAAGATTAACTTGCTGGAATTTTCTCACAAAAAGGTTATTAGGCGATAGTAGAATTCAATTGTAATGGGAAAATAGTTCTTTGCAGTCATTGTGGTGACTACCCAGAGACAACACATGGAGAGAAATACAGAGGACGCAGTGCAGTTCTGTTCTTTTTTGTAACATTTGCATCTTTGCATTTTAAAGGTCTGGTGAAGAGGGGTGTTATCCTGACCTTACATTGTTTTGTGAAAAGCGCATTGAGCATTTAGATCCAAGGAACAGAGCTCTGAGAAAAGATAAGCCTGCAGCCACGGCTTCTGATTTCACAGCTGCAGAATGGGAAACAATTAATGATGAACTGATGGTACAGTGTAACTCTTAATTTATAATAGTCAATAATATAAGCACTTTGATGTATCAGTCTTCTTCTTGTGCCTAAGTAGAATGTAATTATTTGATTAAATGATGAAATGATAAAAGGATTTTATTGGAGTTTTTTTATTGTTTTCTTGAATTAATGTCACTGAATGTTTAATGCCCATTTTAATGCTACAGATTTTTTTTTTTGGTAGGTTACTTTTTAATCAAAAAGCACAATTGCTTGTTGTCTTAATTGCTTTTCCCCATTAAGAGCAGTGCATTATAAGGGTAGTTGTTAGGGACATTGTAGACTATGAAGTATACCTGCTCTACTGCTTTAAGGTACAGATATATTCTTTATTTGTTTTCAGAGCTGGGTGACAGAAATGAATGAAGATGATAAGAAACCACAGTTCCTGAGAACAGACACACTGCATGAAAGACAAGATAACTTGCCTCCTATTCGTTGTTCCAGCAGCTGTCTTCCTGCTAATCAGGTATCTCCAGTTTTCTGATGTATGTTAATTACATGTCTTTCTAAAATCGGGAAATTTTATATGTACAAACTTCTAGACATTGAGCCTTTCTTACTAGATTTATTTCGTTAATCAGAAAATAAAAACCTTTAAGTTCCCTTGCAAGAGACCAATGCTTAAACAGAAGGCCTCCTTAGTACTAGCATGTGTCTTACAATAATGTTTTAATTCTGATCGGGAATTCATTTCTGGAGCAAATCTCCTTAAATACTCTTTTACGTTCTTTGATTCCCATTTCAAAGTGGTGTTTAACCGTATGAACTAGGTTCCTTCTGCGTGAAATGATGCCAGGAGATTTTCTCCAGCTGCCAGCAGGCTTTTGTTCCATGGTATCAGACAGAACCTAGTCCAAAATAAATACCCTGAAACACATACAGTGTGGATGTTGGACCCCCTGCACCAACTGTTTTATTCTGTAGCCATTTTTATATTAGGTTGCACTGGTGTATAATGTAGCCTTTGATTCCCTTTCTTTTATACTTTGAGTTGATATTCCAGCTTTAGTCATAAAGCTATTAACAAATCTTCAGAACTAACATTTACATTTTTTACTAGGTATTAGTTTCCTCATGTTTTTTTTCCATTTATTCATCTGCTTGAAATCTGTTTTGTCTCTGACCAGCTTTTCTTACTAAATGCAGTGCTGTTGGATTGGCAGAAAAGTAGGTGTGGGATGGAGTTTTTTTGAATTCTTAGATGTTATTGTGGATGCCTTCAGTCTGATTCCCACTATTTTCTTTGGAATTCTGGGACACTTGTAACAAATTCAGTGAAGTATTTTTCTTTTTGGACATTTGGAAGTGAGAAATGTTATGAAAGGATCCTTACAGGTTATGCGATATTTCTTATTAATTGTTAATTTGACAAATTTATTGGAATAATTATCTGTTAGTAAATGCCTGATTTGTGTTTCTGTGTTGCCAGAAATGACTTCTTATTGTCAGGTTAAACATCAGACCAAGATGTTTTGGGTAACTAGGCACTCTCCAATATGTGGTATACAAAGAGGCTGGGAATTCCAGTGTAATGCTTTATAAGTGGTTAGTATTGAAACTAAGGTGTGGTTTTGTTCTGTTTTTTTTTTTTTGTTTTTTTTTTGTTAATCTGTCCTCTTTCACATTTTGTAATGTATGTTCCTCTTGACTATCCTATTTTGCTGAGATGAAGAGTGCCACTGTAGCTTTGCTTTTTATTTATGTCCTGTATAACTGTTTCCTAGAACAGAAAATGGTAAATAAGGTATCATGTGAACTCGGTGAATCCAGATTAGAATATAACCATAAAATGATGGAAAGTGGCTTGAAATCTAGGATATACGGTTTCACTGAAGAGGATGTATTCGCCATTCAAACACAAAATATTTATTCAGGTTTTTTCTCCTACTTTAAACTGTGCAACAGTCTTCAGGTCAAGTTTTTATCACTTCTGTTCCCCATGCAAGTTTTAGGTGTTAGCATTATTACCCAGGAAACCTCGATACAGCTTTATGCTTTATCTGTGGTTTATGATTTCCATTCTTTTCGTCCAAGCAGACAGCCTCTGAAGTAATCGAGACCTGTCCTGGAAGGGAGAAGCAAGGCCTGAAATTTAGTTTTGGAATTTAGTCTTCTTGTGTAGCAGTGCAGTTATACCACTACTAGATCACTACTGAATAGAAGGAAGCTGTTTCTATAGTATACGCTAAATTAAAACCTGTAATATGAAATCTCAAAAAAAATTAATGAAGTTTTTCTTTCTTGCTGATAAAGCTATGTGTAATCGTATAATTTTTAAACATGTTTTGCTAATCAGTTAGGACTAATTATTTTTTACACTGGACTAATTATTTTTACACTGGCATCACATAATTTTGTAATGTGGTATCAGTAAAGTTGACATGATAAATTTCTCCTCTCTGCTAGAAAGAAATCCACAAACCCTTCCATAATTTTATGTTGTTACTTGGTTGGAGACTGTTTATATGATCTGATGCATAAAAAGTTCAGTATCTTCAGTAAAGCCAATTCTGGAAATCTTTATTGACCCTAAAACAGTGGATTGCACCAACGGCCACAGGTTTGGTAAATGGAAGCATCTTGTTGTGTCTGTAACCAGATTTTCTTGCTGATCCTAAATGCAGGTACAGTTTCAATTCACTACTAATAGCTTATAACTCTATACGATGCTTTCTTTATATTGGTGTGAAGTCATGGGGAAGATTTTCCAAAAAGGAATAGAAAAAGAGTGAACTTCATGCAATATTTCCCTTTTTAACATAATATGGAAGTTTCTGTCTTACACCCCTGTTTTTTGTTTAACGCTGCCCAGGACTTTGAGGTTACATCTATACTGAAAAATGAAAGAAGACTGGAGAGACATCTTGAGTTTTTTTGTTTTGTTCTGCTTAATTATTATTTTTGCTGCCTCACTTTTCCAGGACACAACTAAAGCATGGCTGTAAAGATGCTCACTTCCAAAAGACTATATTGATGGGATTTCAGCAGACTTAGGTTCCTTTGCCAAATACAGTTTCCTAGTACTATTCCAGAAGGATTTCTGTCCTCAAATTCCTCATGCTACAGTCCAGGGCATGCAACACACATTCCAAGTTTTATGTTATAAACATCCACTGTGATAGTATCTGTATAGCCTTCATATTATTTTGGATACTCTGAACTAACAAAGAACACTAGTTGTCTGACACAGAATAGTAATATCTTAGGCCATCACATAGGGCCCAGAGGACAACAAAGACCAAATTCTGTGTCACCTGAACTGAAGCCAGTCCGTGCTTTGATCTTTGGTCCAGAAATTGTTCACTGGCCTTCAAACCCTGTGGGATCCATGCATTGTGAGTTCTGGCAAGAAAAATGACAAGGGCAAAGTTTTATGGGTTTTTTTTTAGTGTGTTTTTATAGTTCCACAGTATGCAAGCATACATTTTTCATCAAAGCCTCTTGGATGAGATGCTCTGAAATATTACTGATCGAGAAATTCCTAACTCTGCTGGAGCTGCAGCTTGGTTACAATGGTCCCAAGCATATGAGACCTGGAATTTTAAAAATTGTGAATTTTTGAGTCAACACTTTTCCCTTATTCCTTAAAAGGACATGCTGTAGTTCTCTCCCTAAATTAAAGTTTTATTAGTGTTAATACCTTATGAGTTTTCTTCTGAGACTTTCACTATTTTTGTGCTCATTTAAGTTAACCATTTCTTGTTTGAAAAAAAGGTTTGATATTTATTACATTAGTAAGTTTGTAATATGCACCACGATGCATATGTAATGATAATTCATGGAAGCCATATTTAGGAGTTACCTCCTCCAAACATGCGCTAATCACTCAATGTATTTTTCATTTTGTCTTGCTTCTTCAAAGACTGAGAACATTAAGAGTAATTCTTAAGTTATATACTATAGAAGTTTGTGTAACCTAACATTATAGATAGTCAGAAGTGTTTACAGGAGGGTTCACATTTGCATTATGTAAATTGAGGTGTTTACATTCCACTGTGGAAGCATTTCCTTGTTACAGTGTCACCACTGGTAAATCTAGTTTAAGAAGTTGCTGCTTGGTTCTTTGGTCCAGTTTATCACATGCTCAGTTGAAATAGTACAGATATTTAGGAATTGTACTGTAATTTGTATCAAATTGTTTGTTTGAGCCTAGCTAACTGTAAATCTGCAACTCTGCAAACAACAATTATGTTGGTCTAATGCAGTGAACGATGGATTGCAAGGTAAGAGGATGGCTGAATGGCCAGGACAGAGTAGAGGGAATATTTTGAACTCGCTGTTCCACTGTGGAATACATGTTTGGAACCACACCTTGCTATTAAGTATTGTTGAAGTCAACAAGCAGGGAGGGACATACCAGAAATACAGTCTCATGACAGAGGTAGAAGAGATGACAAAGGTACCAGCTATGGGAATAGGTTCCATTAGCATAGGAGATGGGTTATGATACAAGTCAGTCAAATCTGTTATTGGGACTGATTGTTGCAGGAAGGTCCTAAGGATAAATTTTAGGTAAGGCAAACCTCAATTATGGAGTTTATCTAAAAGCTAGAATGAGTGTAAATCATCTTGGGAATTAGCTTGAGTGGAGAGTGAAATAGTCAAAAGAAGTGCAGGCACTTTTTTGAGGTCAAACATTTCTAAGTTTGTTGTGAGGGTTCCAGGGACTATCAAAATCTGTGCATTGCTTTCTCTTGGGAATGGCAAATCTAAAACAAGGTTACTGATTCAGTCTTAGTGTCAAACACCTCATCACAAAGGTGGGTTTTCCCAAGACTGAGTTTTCCCTTTCTGTGTTGAAATGATGGTTTGGAAGATGGCAGCACAAGGTACTACTTAGGAAGAGCAGTCTCCTATCTGAAAGTTTTGTTCAGTGCCTCTGTAACGTGAAACAAGGCAGTGGAGAGAAAGAATGAGACTGAAGAGTGTCTCAGATTACAACGATACATGAAATACGTGAAGATTTTTTTTAAAGCAAGACGGATTAAGTTTTCAAGACTATGCTGAGATTAGTCATGAGTAGTGTTAGTAGGAATATGTATTGCAGAAATAAAAGGCTGTGAATTTCCAGTTTAAAAAACTATCTTACAGGCTGGCTGTTTCTCTTTCAGAACAAAAAAATACAAAACAAACAAAGAAACAAGAAAAATTTACCACGGGATTACAGTGAATGGGACAAGTATGTCGAATCCTTTATATTGAAGTTTTTATTAAATCTTATTTATTTGTTTAATAATGGAATGTGGTGGTTGTTTTTTTCAAGTACTTTCCAGAAACATAGTATTAAGGTCAACATTTACGGAATTATAATACTTTGGTGAAACTTAGGTTTTTCATAATAAATGTTGTGTTAAAATGCAAATGATGCATTGTGGTGTTAACAGCTACAAGTTAGTCTATACTTCTGTAAAAGCTGTGTGAAATATAGCAAGTCTGCAGAAAATATAAAGTGGTTTTTTTTCCAGTTTCATTTTTCCTTGCAACATCTAAGATATAAAATCTATGGAGGTATGTAAAAGCAAGGAATTACAATTAGCTTAATTTATGAGTTTTTTGAAAGCACTTCTAAAGTTATTTAACATGGGTTTATAAGTTTGTACTTCTGCGTATCTAAAGTCACAATTCTAAGTTAAAACCAAAATTGATGCATCCTTATTACTGCACCGAGCCCCACTGACCTCAGAGAATGAGGTTGAGGCAGGTGCATCAGTTTGCTCAGATTCAGTTACACATAATCAGAGGTTTAGGCATTAACCAATTATTTCTAAAGTAGATGGAGCCTTGACACAAAGACACTCCCTGTATCGTGTAATGGTGGCATATTACCCTCCCAAGGTACGTGACAGACTGATGCCCCCAAATTATTGAACACGGAGGGCAAAATGCACATACTTCTCTGTTTTGCATGGTAGCAGCTTCTCTGTAGCTCCTGAAATCTGGAGTATGATGCTGTAGAGTCAGAGTGAGGAGGCACAGGTTTCCAGTGCAGTAGATGAGGAGCTAAATCTAGAGACTGTGAGGTTTGGGTAATGAAACTCTTAATGCCTCACTCTACCCTAAAACCCCTACAAAAACCCTGTCTGCATTAAGATGCTGTTCTTACAAAC